AATGACCAACAAGATGGTAGGGATAAAGTTCACAAATATAAACAATAACCTTGGATATTAATAGATTAAATTCTCTAGTTAAAAAACATAGATTGGTTAGTGGGGAGCTAGTGGAAAAAGCTCAGGAGAAAAACATTAAAGAAACACAAGAATTTTAAGTTCTCAGTTGAAAATGATATATGGGAATATCTTTGACTTGACTACAATATACTGTATGCATACTGTGAAAAACCATACTGTATACCATAAAGATGTATAATGGTTAAATGTAAATAAAAAATAATTTTTAAAAGCTAATTTAAGATTCAAAGTCTGTGAAACAGAAAATAAAAATGATAATGTTACAAACTCAGAGGATAGGATATTTAAAAGAATTATTGGGGCTGACAGGTGTTGCTGTGTTTAAGGGTGGTAGACCTCCACATGGCTGACCATGGTTTGAGTCTTGGATCTGATGACTTGCTTTCTCACTTTCTCTCTTTCTCTCTCACTCACTCACTCACGCTTCCCTCTCTGGTCAATTTAAATAAATAAATAAGTAAAGTTAAATAATTCTTCTTTTAAGAATTATTTATTTAATTTCATTTATTATTTTTAAATTTGCTACAGAACACATGTGCTCACCAGAGAGAGACAGAGAGAGAGAGACAGAGAGGGAAAGTGAGAAAACAAGTCACCAGGTCTGGGACTTGAACCATGGCCAACCACGTGGGAGTCCCGCACCTTAACTATCACAACATCTGCTGGTCCCAATAGAATGACTTTTACAATATTTTCTCAAGATTTAAAAAAAATTAAATAAAAGCCATATTTGATGGAATTTTACTGCAAAATGAAAAAATGTATTATGTCAGAAAATGAATAGCAAATAAGAATATGCATTTTTACTGATTAAATAAATTAATTTATGAAATATTTAAAAAATAAAATACAAAGCTATTAAGAAAAACAATTGCACTCAAATTGAAGAGTAACTTCATGGAAGAGGTGTTGAATATTTTAATACTTAGCAAGCAAAAGTCTTCTCTCTATGACCATATCTTTCAAAGTTATGCCCATATGCTTGTTTTTATAATATAACTGAATGATTAATGTAGACTTTGAGGCATTTGGCTAACACCTGAATACTTAGTATGTGGCAAGGTTTCAATCACAGCTGTCTCTGCTCACTATATAAGTAACTCACCTACAGCTATCTGTCTTATCTCACAGTTTCCTTTTCTGAAAGTTGGGCATAACAATATCTACTTTACAAGAATATTTTAAGGTTCGAGTATAAATACACAGCAACTAGTGCAGTATAAAGTCCAACAGCTGTTCAGTATATGTGAGTTGTTCCCCCTTTTTTTCTCCTTTGAGATAAAAGCCATTTGAAGCTATGTTCTTTTTTTTTTTTTTTTTGGAGAGATTTTCACCGTAGGGCGCGTGCGCTCGCCAGACAGACAGAGAGAGACATAGAGACAGAAAGCGAGAAATCACCCCCCAGGGGGGATGGTCACGCCGCAATCCCTTCTCCTCCATTCTCCTCTTGGGATCTTGGGCACGCACGCACACGCGCCCGGCGTGAGTTTTAAGCCACCGGGTCCGGGACACGAACCGCGGTCGACTACGTGGGAGTCCAGCGACATAGCCATTACGCTAACTGCTGGTTCCCTGTTTTTTTTATATATTATTAAATTAAATAAATTTTTAAAAGGAGCAAGTAAACTTTTCTAATATTCTTGTCACAGAAATAGTTTATATTTTGAGAACATTAGATCCCTCAATCCCCTTCTTATAACTGTATATTTTATAATTAAAGGATTAACTGGGGGCTATCAGGTGGCATTGTGGTTCAGGCACTAGATTCCCACATGGACACCCACAGTTCGAATCCCAGACCTGATGGCTTGAAAATCACAACTAATAGATAAGTAGATAAATAAATAAATAAATAAATAAATGTAAAAAAATAAAAACTGAAAATTCTGTATCATAATATAATTTGTTCCTTTAACAAAGTATGAATTCAAATTATAAGCAATACAAAGGTTCTGTGTGAGAGTTTTAGTTACCTAGCAAACGCAGCCAACCATCCAGCATCTCTATTCATGCAGCATTGATGTTATTCCTGTAATGATTACTTATAGTAGCTTTCAAAAACTAAATGTAGGGAACAGCATATGGCATGGTGGTTTAGTGATGGGCTCCCATATGGTCAACCATGGTTCAAGTCCCAAACCTGGTGGCTTGAATATCATACTGGGCACGTGTGTGTGTGTGTGTGTGTGTGCCCCAAATACCAGAAGAATGTCAGAGAAGGGAATGTGGTGTGGTCATCCCACTACAGTGTGCTTTTTCTCTGTTCCTCTCAGTCTCTTTCTGCCCCTCTCCAGAGAGTACATAAGCCCCATGGCAAAAATCTAAAAAATAAATGAATTCTTGGATCACAGAATATTCTCCCAAAAATAAAACCAAGAAAAAAATTTAAAGTTCAAAGAAAGTGATATTCTCAAAATGCAAATTAAAGTTTTGAACAAATTAGTAGTAAAATTAATTTTTTAGTTCAGTGATGGCAATAATCTACAGTGAATATAAATCCACCATTCCTTTTAGTCAAAACAAGAAAAATACATGAAGCTAACTTTATTGAATACTTCTTTATTTCATTAGTTTAGTGCCTGTTTATGAAATATTAGACAAAACATTAAAATTACAAAGACACTGTTTATTTTTGATATAAAGTTATACACAAGAAAGTCATCTCTGTCAAATAAAATGTGGTGATTAAAAAGCCAGAAATAGATGTAACAGGTAGTCAACCATTGACGTAACCACTGCAGTAAGGGAATATTATGAGAAAAATTTACTAAGCACAGAGGAGAAGGAATTGTAACAATAACAAGAAAAGGCAGACCACACTATAATAGAAATCTTTACTTCCATACTAAAGGAGTTTCTAGAGGTAAAGAGTTTCTAGTCCAGTCTGTAGTGCAAAAAGTCAACAGAAAATATTAAATCATGGCATGTTTTCTGGTATAGTTAAGAAATAATTAATTCCAGTGCATACATCAATGTATGGCAACAGGATCATGAACAATCAGAAATATGATACTACCTAAAGAGCAAAACAAAACAAACACCAGTAACCAACTCTAAAGCAATGGAGATTTATAAAATGTCTCACAAAGAATTAGAAGTAATTGTCTTAAAACTGCTCAATGAACTACAATAGAATACATACGGACAACTAAATGAAATCAGAAAAACAATACACCAAATGAGAAATTCAACAAGGAGATGGAAATTGCTGGGCTGTCGGGAAAGTCATGACACATGTGTTTTTGCATAGAAAAACATAGAAAGATATGTCATGACTTTCCCAACAACCTAATAATAAATAGAACCAAACAGTTCTGCAGGTAAAGAACACAATGATTGACATGAAAAAAACGCAACTTTAGCAGCAAACTTAATCAAACAGAAGGCTCAGTGAGCTTGAAAACAGGTCATTTGAAATTACTCAGAGAGAGGGAATAAAGAATAAAGAATAAAGAATGAAAAAGAGGTGGCCAGTCGGTGGCCTGGTGATTAATACAACTATTTATAAATCTGATAGGAGGAGGATTATGGCATGCCAAGATGTTGTTAAGGTACCTCCCACCTCTCATGAAAGAAAAATAAATAAATAAATAAATAAATAAATAAATAAATAAAAATGGTAAGAATGAGACTAGGTCAGGGTTTTGTTATTTTTTTTTTTTTAAATGTATCTATTTCTTCCATCAGAGAGAGGCAGAAAGAGAAATAGTCAGGTACTCCTTATGAGACCTTCACATCACAATCCATCTCCAGCCTCAGAGAGCCCAGATAATAAGCACAGTTTGTACAAGAAAATCACAGGACATGAACCCAGAACCTTCTGATGAGGTTTCAGGACTTTACAGCATTGTATTATTACTGTATCACTAGCTAGCCCCCTTCAGGCTTACTGATAAAAACTCTTCAACAAAATAATGAAGTAATGCTTTCAAAACTTTGAAAAAAAATTATTTCCAACCTAAAGTTCTGTACAAATTTTCAATCACACATGAAAAACATCTTCAGATATGCCAAGTCTCAAAAGATTATCTTCCATAAATAATTTCTTGTGAAACTACTAGAAGATGTATTCAACCAAATAAGGATAAAAACAAAGAAAGAGGAAAACATGAAACCCAGGAAAAAGAAGCTCTATGCAGGAGAGCAGTTTACAAATTCTCCAAAAGATAGTGAAGGAAAACCTCAGGGTGGCAATGTCCACAAAGCAGAGTGGATGAGGAGTTCAAAGTGGGGCAACAAAGAGCTTGTGGGAAAGAATTCCTCAAGAAAATTAAAGGGACAGAATGCCTACTATGTCTGATCATCTGAGAGAGCTAAATAACAATGAAAACTAAGACTTTATTAACAGAAAGTAAAACTAGGTAATGAGAAAGCCAAAGTAATTACTAAGTCCAAGGAAAACAAAAAGTTGAGAAAGGAAAATAATGATCATTAATATCTGCCTTGGTTATCAATATTATTATTTTCAACTATACAAATGTTGAGTACTTACCTGACCAAACCTTGATAAACTGTACAAGGTGGATGGAAGGACAGAAAAAATTGAATGTGTAGTTGGGGATAGGGAGTGGATGAGAAGAGAGCTCACAATTTACTCTTGTTTAAAAGTATAGCACAAGTATGTGATATGGAGATAATGGTTTTGTAAAAGTCCACTGAGGCGGAAGTGCATGTCCTAAAGAAGGGAAAGAATAAAGCAGCAAAAAGCTATGATTTTTATGGGTCACAGAAATGGGTTATTATCTGTTGATGATAATTTGTACAGTATCCCTACATGGACTAGTGAGAAACGTATTCACATTGGAACATTCACTTTACAAGCTAAGGTATGTATGTGACTGAATGTATAAGAGAGATAAAATAAAATATTTTAAAAAATCAGAAAAAGGATAAAAGTTTTTTAAATCATTCATTCTTACCTTAGGAAGTCCAGACAGTTTGTCATCACTTGTCAAAGAATGACTACTTGCACAAGAAGCACAGTCAGAGATCTCCACAGCACTTTCGCCATCTTCAGACTCATCATATTCATTAGCACTTTCCCTGTCACTGTCAATTTTCCAGTCAATAAATGGTAATTCACCTAAAAAAAATATATAATTTTGAACTTCTCAAATTTTATATTTCCTTTATCTTTTTAATCAATTTTTCACTCTCAGGAATATAGTTTTCCCTCTCTTCACATACTTCTGTAAATTATGTAGCAGCATGAATATATTAATTTCTACTCTCATCTCTAGTCACCCTGTTTCTTCCAACTCTTACCCTCACCCCAATTCTAAGTTATCTTTTTTTGTATCTTTGTAGTTTCTCCAGCTTATTCAATTAAATTAAACATATACTATTCTTTCTTCCTCATTTTTTTACACAGCTTGACTTTTTTCTCTTTACATATTGTTTTTTTTTCCCTTATCAGTAAACAGGAAATATTCTCAAATATAATATTCCAGTCTATGGTCAACCACAGTTTATTTAAATAGTCCTTTATTAGAAAAAACTTTTCAAGTAGTTTTTACTAATTTTTTTCTAAATTTGTTTATTCAGTAAGGAAACAACTAAAGTTATTTCAGTTTTTGTTTACTTCATAAGCATTATCTAGATCCCATTTTTGCAAAATTTTAAGTCAGAAAGTTAAATTATTTTCATATATTAAATAGTCAAGTGTATTGGTTCTAATCTATTGCTTTTAAAGTTAAGAATAATTACTAAATATAATTGTTTGTTTGTTTATTTATTTATTTATTTTTTACCATTTCTTTTTTTTTTTGGAGAGTTGTTTTTTATTTATTTATTTATTTATTTTGCTATAGGGCACGTGTGCTCGCCAGACAGAGAGAGAGAGACAGAGAAACAGAAAGTGAGAAATCACCCGGCAGGGGTATGGCCACGCCACAATCCCTTCTCCTTCATTCTCCTGTCAGGATCTTGGGCACGCATGCACACGTGCCCGGCGTGAGTTTTAAGCCACCGGGTCCAGGATGCAAACCGCGGCTGACTACATGGGAGTCCAGCGACATAGCCATTATGCTAACTACTGGTCCCCTCAATATAATTGTTTTTGAGAGAGAGATTTTTGTTAATAGGGCACATGTGCTCTCTAGAGAGACAGAAAGAGACAGACAGAAAGAGAGAAATCATTCCTCCCACCTACCCCCGGAGGATGGCCGCTCCACAGTCCCTTCTCCTTCATCTCCTCTTGGGATTTTGGGCATGCTCATACATGCCCCAGACTGAATTTCAAGTTTCCAGGTCTGGGACTCGAAACACCGTCAGCCAAGTGGAAGTCCAGCATAATCACTATGCCATGTGCTGGTCTCACTAAACTAAACATAATTCTGAAGTATAACATTTAATATAAACCTCTCCTACAGTATGAGCATACATACTCCCTAAAAACTGCTTCAGCAATTTAAGGCAGCTAGTAAGATATCTTGATCCTATTCCGTAGATTTGATAGTAATGATCTTGCAACTCTTTCACTTTTTGGCAAAGTGAAATAACATTTAAAAAATACAGCTTTGGGGCTAGAAGGTGGTATAGTGGTTAAGGCACTGGACTCCCATGAGGTTCAATGAGGTTCAAGTCTCAGACCTGGCAACTTGAAACTTAAGCCAGGCGTATGTGCCAAAAACCCAAGAGGAGACTGAGGAGAAGGGACTGTGGTGTGATCTTCTCTCACAGAGGGTGATTTCTCACTTTCTGTCTCTCTGGCAAGTCCATGCACCCTATAGCAAAAATCTCTCTCTTAAAACAAAAACAAAAACAACTTTAATACCTGAAAGGCATTTTAAAAAAGATTTTTAAAAATTCAGTTGAAGTTAAAAGAATGGGGTAAACAAGAAAGAAAAAAAGTCTTCTTTAATCAGATACTATTGTTCCAGAAAACATAGTGGAAGTCACTCTAATGACAATAAAGGAGTGGCAGTCAGATCTCCACTGGTGAACTACCTGATAAGCTTTAAAAAATAATACTCCGAAAAGAAGATTCCTCATGGCTCCTGAGAACCAGCGATTTCAGGGCTAAAGAGAAATGAAGATTTCCTACTGATAATTCAGTGTCCAGCCCACAAGCTTGAGTGGTAGGGAGCTCCTCTAGCCTCCTATCTCTGTCTCTGTGTCTCTCTGCTTCTGTCTTCTCATTTTTTGGCAATTTTTCCTTTTAAAAATTTTGTAAGGTAAAGTATTCTCTTGCTTTCAGCCCTGCCTTTTTTCTTGTTAATAATCCCCTCTCCTCCTCCCACACAGGCAGAAGAGGCAAGAGGCAGGCCATCAGAAGATTCCTCATGGCTCCTAAGAACTAGTGATTTCCTGTGGTGCACAAGTGCACTTCGTGATTTTCTATTTTGTGCTTTTAAAAAAAAAAATCATTTTTTTAGTTTTTAATTTTTTTCCTTCCTTTTTTATCTGTTTCTTTGTTGTTGTTATTTCTCTCTCTCTCTTTCTCTCTCTCTCTCTCTCTCTTTTTCTTTTTCTTTTAATCTCATCTCTCCTCTCTTCAATATTCATTTACTGTGTTTCTAGATAGATCTAAGGGAACTACAGCCAAACATTCAAATACTATTAGGGTTAACATATTTCTTAATATCTACTGAATCTGCTGCACAAAGAGATCACAATGGAATGGCAAAGAAATTCCAGATCACAATGGAATGGCAAAGAGATTCCAGATCACCTCTTTCTGCTCACTCCTGTAAATTCAGATTGAACTTCAAGAATTAGAAAGAAACACACCATCCATCAGAAGACTAGAAATCACTGCAGGGCCACAAGAAATATGGGAAAGCAAGAAAACACCTCTCCTCCAAGGGAAAAGAATAACTCCTCTTCATCCACAGAAAGTTCAATGGAAATCATGGAAATGTCTGATAAAGAATTCAGAACATTCATAATGGCAAAGCTAACAGAGATGGAAGAGAAGAGAGACTGCAGAAGAGAAAGGAGAAAGGAGCTGACGAGTTTCAGGAGGTGAGGAAATTCTTGCAAGATCTAAAAGAGAAATTACATACTTTACAAAAGAATCAAATGGAACTGTTAGAGATGAAGGCTATAATATAGGAAGTCAAAATCTCCCTTGAAAGTATTAAAAGCAGACTAGATACAGAAAATAGAATCTCAGACATAGAAGAAAAAATTGCTGGACTAGAAAAATCCGCCACGAAGACAGAAAATGGCCCCCAAAATTTAGAATACTATACAAGAAATACTAGATATCATCAAACGTCCAAACATCTGGATAACTGGTATCACAGAAAGCGAAGAGACTCATAAGGGCATTGGTAATCTATTCCATGAAATCCTGCAAGAAAACTTTCCAAATCTAGAGAGGCACTCAAAGATCCAGTCCCAGGAAATACAAAGGACCCCAAATAGAATCAACCCAAGAAGATCTCCTCCAAGATACATTATAGCCTGATTGACCACAGACAAAGACAGGATACTAAGATTGGCAAGAGAAAAACATAAAGTTACCTATAAAGGATATCCCATCAGGATAACAGCAGACCTCTCATCGGAAACAATGCAAGCGAAGAAAGAATGGGAAAATATATTCAAAGTGTTAAGGGAAAAGCAATTTCAACCAAGAATACTGTACCCGGCAAGATTATCCTTTATGTGGGAAAAAAAGACAAGAACTTTCTCAGATAAACAAAACCTGAAAGAATTGACTAGCACCAGACCAGATCGCCAAGAAGTTCTTGAGGGAGTCCTATATCAGGAAAATTAAATACGGTCACATAGAAATAAGAGTTCAAAAACTAAAAAAATGGCCAACTTAATAATAGGGACAAGTCTGGAATTGAATATTATATCCCAGAATTTAACTGGGAAACTTGGACAATAATAGAAGATGAAGTACATGAGATTGATTTGGTGAAACATTATTTTATAACTTTTGACTAAAACATTGCTGATTTTCTTCTAGACTTTGTTGTCCAGTTTTAAGGATTTGTGTTCTGTCTTGAGCTGTTGATAGGCTCATGTACCTACCATTTGAACAGAATCCTAACCTGTTTCCTGGCTTTAAGTTTTAAGCTAAGTTCCTTAGCATTTCTTTGATTTAAGTTAAAACTGCTTTTCTTGAAATTACCAAGTGAACTTGCTATTGAAAGTAGTTAGATTATTTAAGAAATTGTGTAATCAATGCAATGTGAGGAGGAAAGGAAGACAACTGTAGACACCAGAGATAATGTGAAAAGAGGGTGGGAAAGGACAGAGGGTCAGAAATAGGGGAGAAACTAGAAATGGAAAATTTTTGATGATAGCATGCATGATTAAGCCATTATGCAGTACTTACAGATGGGAAATCACGTTTTGTATGCTGTGACGATGCTTAAGGAATGAATGTAAATTAAGTTAAAAAATTTTCAGAAAAAAAATATTGCAGAAGTAAATTACAGCACATTTGTGACTAGATTCTAGCTTTGTCCATATTTTTAGTTTAACATATTTTGTGAATCAATAAAATATGGAAAAAAAGTTTAGTATGGAAGGGAGAGGGGGAAAGGAAAAAAGTAAAAGTATGCTTAATTGACAAAAAAATAAGAAGCTATTTGCTGATAAGTTATAGAGTAATATCTTTGGCTTGACTGACATGCATAGTGTTTGTGCTGGATAAAGAAATGTTGTAGGGAACCAGCAGTTAGCGTAATGGCTATGTCGCTGGACTCCCACGTAGTCGACCGTGGTTCTTGTCTCGGACCCGGTGGCTTAAATCTCACGCCGGGCGCGTATGCGTGCGTGCCCAAGATCCTGAGAGGAGAATGGAGGAGAAGGGATTGTGGCGTGACCATCCCCCCTGGGGGGTGATTTCTCGCTTTCTATCTCTATGTCTCTCTCTGTCTGTCTGGCGAGCGCACGCACCCTATAGCGAAAACCTCTTCCCCCCCAAAAAAAAGTTGTACACTGTAAAGATGTGATTAAATGTAAATAAATTAATTAATTTTAAAAAGTACATTAGATTTAAAAACTTAGATGTGAATGGCTTTTAAGCAAGATCCCTATTTGTAAGTAAAATTTAGATAAAGTAATCAATTTTAAAAAGTAAATAAAAAGTTCTAAAGAAACTGGAAAAAGAAATCATCA